AGAGGAAAACTCAGGGATGACTTCCTTAGGCTGCTGCTTGGAGAATACCAGTCATTCACTGGCACTGGGACTTTTCAGGACAGAGTGCCAAAATGGCTTGGTCTTGTTTTCTTTTGCAAAAGAGACAAAGCACATTCTTGCCACAGCTTTTCTAATTTACTCTGACCACTCTATGCTACCATTATGCTCTCTTCCCATGCAATGTCCATCCTCCTTTGCAGGCTGCACTTCACGTTGTACTAATTAATCCTTGCTGACGGGGAGGGGTGCCACTACCTAATGTGAACTTGTATCATGCAACATGAGTTGCCCGAGGTAGAAGAATAGTATGATTATTGTGCGAAAGGCTGAAAAGAATAATGCACTATCATCAAATACCTGAAATTAAACTCAGGCCATGCATTCACAGCAGCTTGCATCTGGGCTAATAAGTGGAAAAACAACAACAACTAAACGCACCAAAAACCCATGACCAAACCCCTCAATGAAACTAACTTGGCTAATTTAGCCACAAGTGTCCAAATGCACCCTCCCAGTTTGCAGAACTACATAATAAAAGCTGGCTTAGCACGCTGGAAGATCTGCGAACCAAGTCATACAGAACTGGAAAAATGCATTTGCACAGAAACAGAGATTGGGGCACAGTGCGTCAAAACCTCACTCACTGATTACTGTCAAGGCCAGCATCCTTCCTTTAAGTCAACCCTCAAAAGACACCTCTCCCTGAAGAGCTTGTAAATTAAATGGACAATGAGATCCTAGTTAATTCATTAGTTAATGAGCAAACAAAATCCAAGCACCATTGACACCTCTGACATTCTTCCTGCAAAACCTAGACCACAATTCAGTTTGCTCTCCATCCCAAAGAGAAAATGAGATTTAATTTCCAAGAAAGCAGAGATAGCATCTAAGCCACAGGTGAAGTATTTACAATTCCTTTCACTCTCTTCCAAAGGGGAAAAAAATAAATTCTTTTGGCAGTCTTCTAAGAGTCTTTTACTTTTCCTAACTATTTTTTTCTTTTTTGAAAGTCAAAAATCTCCTGAAGAATCTGCAATTCTAGCTGAAAATTCACTTGAGATTTAATCACTGAAGTAATGAAAACTTTTACTTGAGGTTCCTGATTCAAATGGTGGGGAAAGTTTCTTAGGTGTGAGCATATACTCACAGTTTTCAAAGGAGGAAGGAATTATTTATTTTTATGTCCTGCAGTGTGGTACATCTCCAAATCCAAGCAGCTATTGGGACATCCCCCCTTGTTTATAGTTGGGGACCAATTTTTTTATCCATCATTTCATTCCAGATGAAGAGAAGAAATAGTCTACAGATTTTTCTGTGAATTTTTTTCAAACCTGAATCCACCTGACCTATAGTTAGGCATTTACCTAACTTGCAAAGTTCACACACCTGGAGAAAGAAGGAGGTTAGGTCCTACTCCAAACATGAGTTTATTAAACTGCTGGAAGGAAAACCATGACACAAGGCTTGCTTAGGCAATGTTGCAAGCGTGAAACTACTCACGGTGGGAAAATAAGTTGCACACACCTACAGCAGTTGCCAGTTTTTAAGTGTTCTCTCACAGAAAGCCCCACAGCTTGTCTACTTTACATCATTGCTCTGCCGACCATCTCTCCTGCTCTACAATATCCAGCAGATGCTATAGCAACCAAGAGCTCACTGCTGTTATTTTTTGGCAACAGCCTGCTTCTGAACTGCATTGCATTGCTCTCTCAGCAAACTTTTACTTTATTTTAGCTGGACTGAAGTTTTCCACTGAGCAACTCAGTGTTCCAAATCTCAGAAAGCTTACTTGGTTTTACCACGAGCCTGGTTCCATGTCCAAGCGTAAGTAGGTAGGTACTCATAGACACTGTGTTGTTTGCCCTAGCAAAAACCGTTGTGCGTTCCTATCCACCCCAAAGACCTGAGTAACATTCTTCAGGGAAATCCTACAATTTCTCCATGCGCACGCTTGCAATGCATTACATCTTACCTCCACGTCCATTGCTTGTTCTTCCCACACAACAGTCTCATTAATACCACAAGCAAGAGCCACAAGGCAATTCCCTTTCCAGAACAAAACCACCCTGCACCACTCACTGAAGACCATTACATTTTTTGCTCATCTCTGTTCTTGTATTTCACGTACTTGTTTTCACTTTTCACTTGCTTCCTTTCCCCAGGATGGACGCTTTGCTGGTGCATATTTGCTAAATAGAAAGTCTAACACTTCTTTCCTGGGAATACTAAAACCATCCCAAATTGCCCCACAAAGCCACTACACTGTTATTTTGGAAGCTGGAGTACAGTGTCATCTGTATTGAGTCCACCTTGACTCAGAGAAGAGACAGCTCACCTGGGGCAATGAGAAGTTTGGTTCCACTCCCCCATGTGAGTTTTCCCCATCCTCCAGTACTAGCACCGTGTGAGGGGTCTTTGCGAAATGGGCCTCTTCATTCAGCCACCTCATGGGTGTCGAAGGCCTCAGATACATTCATGGAGCTGCCTCTGAGAGAAGCTACGAGTAGCCATGCAGTTTTCCACAGACCTCCTCTAGCTCTCTTTGCCAAATACCTTCTTCTGTGTTCAAATGTATGGGAATAACTAGATTCAATTATGGGGAACACTTTAAGAAGCTTGTGTTGTTATATCCAAAATGTGGTGCCTACAATTAGTCACTGCAGATAGTTTCCCAGCCTAAGGCTCTTCCCACTAATCCCCCTTTCCTTCCTCATTTTCTGATACTTGGTTGCTCAAGAGCATTCCGTGTTTTCATTACAGCATGATGACTACCTTGCTGTTATCAAGGGCTGTGGCAAACTGAATCCCAAGTCAAAAGCAAAGAAAATATGTCTCTACTGGGTCACGGAATGCCGGAGTAGCATTCAGATGCATTTTGAAAACATGCCCTTATAAGGAACTTTTTTCCAGTAAGTAATGAAATAATCTCGGTTCCTCAGACCCCACCTTCCTCATTTTCCCATGCAACGGCCTGAATAACTACTGGGGTTTTACTGACCATTTTGTTCCTTTGCCAAATATGAACTTATTTACTGACCCAAAAAAAAAAAAAAAAAAAAAAAAAAAGCTTGTATTCCAAGCCAAAACATTCAAACTTTCTTTTCCTTCTCAATCTCCAAGACAAAGATGATTTCGTCCCCGGTTTTGCTAAGTAAATGCACATGGCTGTTAACATATCTGGAAGAAAAACACAGGGGGAGAACCCACTAGTCTCCTCAAACCAGGTCAATTTTCACAGGCACCAGCTGAGTGAACTCTCCTTATACACAGAACTTTCAAAATTACTTTCTCTATTATTTTTTCATTGTTTGCTTACCGTTTTGCCTGTGCTGCAGCATTCCCCACTAGATCAAGAGCTCAGACACTATTTAGCCACTTCTACAACAATCAGGCACTGACTTACAGTATGAAGGTAAGAGTCCAACTATCAAGACATGTGAAGAAGACAACTGTATGACAATGACACATTCGCTATCACAACAGCAAATCTTCCCAGTTGCTCAGCTTCTCCTATGGACAATTCTAAATCCAGAATACCACGCATGCATGCTCTGCTTAGCATCTTACTTCATTTCAAAACAGCCTTGCCTCCTCTCAAGTGTGATTCTGAAGCCAGTGATCACTGTTTCTCAGCTCATAAAACCCTGTGTTCATAGACATTGGTTTTCACGAATTCCAACCTTGCTTGTCCTTCAGTTAAGGTTTCACGTATGCATCAGACAGCTCAGAAAAAACACATCACAGAATTGTCTTTTTTCCCCTCACCTTAGAAACAATTGATTATGTGGGCATTTTTCAAAGGCTTTTGCAGCAAAACCATGAGAATTTGTCTTAGCCCGCAGAGTCACAGAATCACTTGACACTGCTTTGCGTGAGGGGTTTGGACTAGATCATGTCCAAATGTCCCTTCCAACATCTGTCATTTTTCTGTTCACTGAATGCTAAACTTCAGAACCTAAGCCCCCCTCATGTTGCTGGCTAAGAGCCAGTGTATAAGAGTGTTCATGGAGATTCAGTACTGAAGCAAAATTAGTCTACTGACTTTACAGTTAGGCCTGGCACAACAGGTCCTGCAAAGACATTTGCAAACATGATCCTAAAGCATTGTTGTGCTGCAATGGTAAAAAGAGATGGGAACAGCAGGAACGCAGTCTAAGGCCAGAATAACTGATGAAGTCCACCTTCCCATCAGTTAGGATTTCCATCTGCAGGTGGGTGTTTTTACAATGCAAGAAGTACCACAGTATATAAAACAGTGCTGTGCATTTGAACTACCCAATTCCTTTCATTGCCAACTTACAGCACAGACGTAGGACATAATTGGCAGGCAAGATTGCAACACGCAGACATTAACCCACTTGGCCAGTAACTTTAATCAGTTAACTCAGATTGTGACTTGAGTCCCTGAGCCAGTGGTGAGTTTCAAGCTCTTGTCACACCACCAGAGCACTTGACAGAAATCCAGAGGGCACCGAGAGCTATATGACATGACTATCGGGAAGCATTTGCACTGAGCATGATCTGAACCTTACCTGAGTTACCTCAAAGTCCTAAGGTAAGGAATGGAACTGAACCCCCTTTACCTATCCCCCACAGCCTTCCACAGCCATACACAGGTACTGAGCACAAGTTGGCCAATCTGTCTCTCTTTCTGAAAACATGCCTGTATTTCTGATTGCTTCCAGATTATCAGCACCCTGGAGCCCCGTATCAATAGCAGGTTCCCCTAAATACCAGAAGTCCTCCACCTCAAAACGCTTCTAGGCTCAAGAGTATCTTGAAATAGCACCTATGTTCTCCTTCCCATTTGTAATGTGAACCACATAAAAGAAGTACGTCTAAAGGGCGTTACGGTGGACACACAAGGGTTTTTGAAAGAGGAGACACAAGAAAGTTGCACACTCACTGGGCTGGATGGACAGTCTGGTCCCTGAGCCAAATGTCAGCTTGTTGGTGCCATAATCATAATCCCACAGCATTTCCTTCCATAACAAAAAGCCCAGCAAGCCCCTTCAGAAGCAGCACCTCTCCCCAAAGCATTCCCCAGCCATCCCAAGGCTACAAGGGCAGTATAAGGGTGACACAAGGCAGGAGGATCCCAGGGCAGGAGCAGAGGGTGACAGTCTGCCTGTGTGGGATGAGGTCTGCGATGGGGCCAGAACTAAGGGGCACCCCCCCAAACCTCCTCCTCCTGTCCCCACACTGACACCTGGCTCAAGGCCTCCAATAAAACAGAAAGCATAGGAACAGTGGTGGACTTACGTGGCCTAACTTTGAGTCTCGTTCCAGAGCCAAAGATAGTTTTGTATGCACCAGCTCCCGTGGTCACA